TGTSCCCGTTCCGCCCCCTCATCCCACTAGCCCTTTCCAGGCTCGGTGTCTTTCTGCTGAACTCTCGTCCACAAACCTGGATGAATCCAGGAGACTCCAAAGGAGCACTGAACCCATTTCACCTCACTCATTCCAACTTTTCCYTTACAAGTTTATTCCATGGCTGCTCTCCAGACTGACGCACAAAGTGTCTCACTGTTGCAATGGCCTAAAAACATTTAACACTGGTAAACTCAAGAACAACCCTGCAACCACTTTGTCCTTTTTCCCCAGTTGCACCGGAGTACAACTCCTGACCACATCACACCAGCCACAACTAACCCGAAATGTCTAGGCTAGATCAGAGAAGACCTCTCTTTCAAGATTTTTAGACAGCAGGATAATATATACCCCTAGCTATTAAAGATACAGATTTATTATGCAGAATATTCTCTATATTCTGTGCAGTCAATTAAGAGATGAAGATTAAGAGATTCCCTGATTCTCCTTAGGGCTCATTCCAGGCCACATGATTTCACTGATATAAAACCGAAGTTCCCTTTGCTACTTCTCGTCCTGTTAACTTCATACTCCTCGTTCTCCAAACACAAGTCCAGTGTTCAGCTAATGGCCCAAGTCCAGCTCAACTATAAAGGCATCACAATTCTGTAGAACAAAACCAGGGAAAATAGATCGCTTATTCCTACCTTTAGTAATGACCAGGGCAATGTGTTACACCTAAGCTCTCCTTCAGCTTCTGGATTACAAAACACAGGGCTGAAGTCACTGAAAGTGACCAAATCTCACCTGCAAGTCCTGATTTTCACATGTCAACCCAAGCCTGTATTCCCCCAAATGACCTGACTGCAATGARACTGAAGGAGATGCGGGAAGGACTAGAGGGGATGGCCACAGATCCACTTTAGAGCGGGTCCAACACGACAAACCAACACTGGACTCATTGCTGAGCTGCACAGCCCTCACAGCAACACGAGGTCGGACACCAGCCCTCCCACTTCCACAGTGCAGTCCCCATTGTGAGGGCTGAAGGGGAATCGCCTTTGGCCACACCAGTTTGATGGTGCATGTTGAAGACCTCCTCTCAGAGCACTTCCCTTCTACCCTTTGAATAGATTATTCCTCAGAGCCAAGATATCCTCACACACCCATAGGCAGCATTTTTGCATGGAAGATGCATCTCAGAATCACATCTCAGTAGCTRCAGAAGAAGAAAATTTTAGGCTATGACCTCTGCTTTCACCTTTCCCTCTCAAATTTAGCTCTTATTCAGCTAAATACTTGTGACAGTGCAGTAGCCCTGAATTACAAATGCAGACAGAGCTTWGGAAGCACTACAAAAGCAGTTGTTCCAATATTTACTCAGAGATTTTTCATGCTACACCTAACACAGACTTTTGTTTACTGAGAACATAGCGCTGGGGAAGGCCAAGCCACACTGGGCACATACTGCTGCCAAGCAAATTGCCATTAAGGTTTTAGCAAAGCAACACAAATTGAGGTTACATTAAAGTCTCTTTTGTATGAACCGTATCCCTGAATGAAACCCAGCGACAGAGCTGAGTAATGAATTAGAGCAAAACCATCAAGGTGGAACAACTTGAGCCGTAGGCAAAGGGTCCTTTCTTCGTTGATAGGAGATGAGGACAGAGAGCTTAATTTGACATGTAGAAGGGCTGATGAGGCACAGTCACCATTACGCAGCTTTGGTGCTATGTAAGGTGMAGTACCCACCACCCACAGGGGCACAGAAGACCTGCTGAGGTTCAATTATTCCATAAAGACCTTCAGCTGGAACCAAAATGTTCTTAATGTAAAAAACTTCTGAGAATCCCTTCAAAAATGGAACTTCAAATCTCTCTGGTGCTACCCAGACCTGAAACCCACAATAAAAAGCTTGCTCTTTTGTCACTTGAAACTTCTCCTTCCAGTAAGGAGTCCCKCAAGCCTCATCTGGCCCCAGGGGCTTTGGAGACACACCAAAAGCACCATGACATGGATGTGACACCAACCCAGGCTCATGTCTGAGACCAGTTCTGCACAGAAACACAGCACTCTCGCATGCTATTCCTAAGCAAAACAAAACAGCCCAASCATGCCAAGTTCACAAGTTCTGCTCATTCTTAACACTAGCAATCTTAAAACCTATTTTGCACTTACATTCATAACCCAGTCACTGGGGAGCCAGTTCAAAGCACGAGCCATTCACACGAAACAGATGCAAACAGCTTCACGGCTGACCTGGAGTTCACAGTAGACCATGCACGTTCATTCAATGTTCTTCATGCTCTGACCAGTTCACAAGCTAAATCGGAGCAGATGCATCAGACCTCAGGTGCCAGAGAGGCTGCCCGCTGCTGCAGGCCCAACCAAGGGGCTGAGCACAGCTCAGCAGATGCATGGGCAGCRCGTGACACCATTTGGAGGTCACGAGGCTCCAAGGCAGGTATCTCAGGGGCTGTCAGCTTGGGTTTAGCTGCCGGTTCCTCCTTCAAGGAGCTGGGTCTATTTCTTACAACACCGCACAGACCGCCAGGGTTTACCAGAACTTGGAAGAAATGTGTTTATAAACACCTAGAGTGGCTTCAAGGAGGAAAATAAAGGAAAAAAAAATAAATTGAAGAATTTTGGAGTGCTATTATGTAGCACAGCATAATGCTTATTAGACTATAAAACAACCCCTAGAAAATATATATATCAGGCATACCCTACCAGGAGAAGTGCTGCATGTTTGAAGTGAAGGAGGAGAGACTAGTTGAGGATGTGTCGTCTTGGCAGTCATCCAGATGTATAATATAAACCCCTGGTCACCAGTGCACTGATATTTAAACTAATTAGCACATACAAAACCACAGGACTGTGCTTTTCTGCAAGTCTATTCGTATGGACAGAAGCCCTAACAGCTAAATAAATAAATATATTGTTTTGATTAAATCCAGCTCACGTATCAGAATGCAGCAGTCTACAACCCCTTCCACACCCCCTTCCTCCTCCRAGCAGCAAGGCTAGAGGAACATGGTGCAGGGCACATTTCAAACAGGGAAAAAAAATCCTAACCCCACCAAATAAAATGCGCACTCAGCATTACGCCAGGAGATAAAAATAGAAAGCAGGCCAGCTGGTACAGAATACCAAGCAGCATTCCTACTCAGCGCAACGCAGGAGGAGCGACACAACCCAAATCCACCTTCCCTTCGCTGCTCTCTCTGTGGTTGCATGTTGAAACTAGGAAGGAATGAAAAATTCCTGCATGGCTTTGCATGTACCACTCCCTGGGGCTTCAGTTTACTCATCCTCACCTAAAAGTGGGATAAGGAAGTTTTCCAGCCTGCTGCAAGCTCCGAGAGTCTGCATTCAGATCTGTAGATACTCATTTGTTAGGATGGCTTGGGTGTGATGGAGAAGAGATGAGACACRAGCCATGAGCATGAAGAAAAAAATACAGGAAGGTGTGTGCACATAGGGAATGCAGTATGGGATGAGATGCTTGCCCTTCTCTCCTGCTGCCATCACTTTCTTCCCCAATTGCATCTTGCTGCTCTTTTCCTACCCTGAGGCGCAATGGAGAACAACCATGAAGAGAGGTGACCTGGCTCCCAGGAGCAGTCACCCCTGCTGTCTCGGTGGAGGGGTGAAGACGTGGCCATTCACAGAGTGACCGGCCTGGTTACCGGACAGGGCATTTTTTGGTCTTGATCAATGCTTTGCCAGGGTCYTCTTGCTCTGTCTCCACCTCACACGTGCCCAATAGGATCAAAATCAGTCCCATCCTCTCCAGAGCCTGGTCTCTGGTCTGGGAGTATAAATCACTCCTTTCTGTGCTAGATCCAGCCACTGAGCTGGTCTTCAGCTGCCCGTGAATAGACTTGACAGGAAATACCTGAGCCCACAAATCTTTGCTTGACTTCATAAATCCCGTCAAAGAAGACTTTTCCTTCTGGCAACAAGATGATTTACAGACCCATAGATCTTCACTCATCTTAGGGCAGAGGTAACAAATGTATTTTTGAGCTCTGCTGTTGCTGGCCACATTTATAAAGAACTGCAAGAGCAAGGTAAACACAGTGCTCTGATTTATAAAGCCCAGCACTGGTTTCACACACCTGCCTATTCCCCAACTTCAGTAGTTGTTTTAGTTTGCTGGAGCTTTAATTTTCACCTGCCTTTGTAAGGTTGCTCCGGTTCCCAGTCTCTAGGCTCGGTCAGAAGTAGGCCCGTGTATTCAGGTGACTTGGAGCAGGGGCCACCTTGTTTTTCAAGCTTTCAGCAGCAATACCGTGCCACAACATAAGAGCACTTGGACTTCAGAGTGGGGCCTGAAGGATGGCTACCAGGACTGCAAAACGCACAGCTCCTCTTAACAGATTAAGGAAGTTATGTGATTTATTAAACTAGTCCCAACGTAGCCATGCATCAGTCAGCACCAGTTGCTGAATACAGAAATGTTTTATAYGACACAACACAACTGACTATATTCCTAGGCAAGGCTTACACACTGTACAGCAGGACACTCCATTTCCATAAGAGCAACAGGAATATTATCCTTGCCTTTCTTATTCCGTCCCAGAGCACAAATAACTCTGCTAGTATTGGATGACATGACAAGCTAGAAGCCAAGACGTTCCGAACCCCTGTAACCAGAACAGCCTTTCCAAGTCAAAAGCAGCAACTGGTGCCTGGTACCAACGTAGAGGGGGAACTTATAAACCCCACGAAGCAGAGAAGGACACAAGGAAAGAGAGAAAACTCCAGCTCCATCTAGCTCATATCTCAGCCTACTAAAACCATGGCATTCATGGCCAACTTACTGCATCTTCCAAACACCCAGAGGTTGGGTGCAACACCTTGCGTGGATGAGTAACACCCCCATGCACAAAGAAGCAGGCACATCAGACACGGTGTGAGATTTTCCCACTGTTACCACATTTTTGTGATTCCCAGAGAGGCAGGGACACCCCCAGTCCCCCACCAGTGTCTACTTCCCCCCCAGAGAACATCATCCCTCAAACCCTCTGGGACTGCACCTCTGTTAGCAAAACGCCCAGGGAAAGCGTCAGGCACATAAACATGTCACCGAGACGACACAGCTGGTGACAGAACCAAACCCAAAGGTTAAAAAGCAAGGAAAAAGAATCAAAGTCATGGAGCGAATCTACAGGTGACTGGAGACATTACAGCGTGCTCCAGGCACAGCAAACACCTGGCCAAGGGAGAGGGAGACCCAATGCCTCTGTTGGCCGCACAAGCCTCCAAAATAGAGGAACTATTTTGGTGAGAAAAGCTTCACGCTCCCCTTGTTTAATGCTACAGCCAAGCCCATCCCCAYGGGTGGCTGCAGGGAAGCTCTCCCTGGAGCAAGCTGCCAGCTCCCGAGGTAAAACGCGCGGCAGGGAACCACGGGGCGAGCAGAGCCCAGGCAAAGCCTTACTTTATCCACCAGCAGCTGCTCAGCTCCAGGCTTCAGGGGCTTCCATCGGCTGCGGCCGTTCCTGCAGTCCCTGCGCACCTCCAGCGTCTTTGAACCCAGGTCGTTCTCAGCTGCCAGGAGAAAATCCACCGGAAAAAAAAAAGAAAAAAAAAGAAAAAAAAAAAAGAGAGAGGAATGACAAAAGATAAATGCTGTGCTTTAGCTCAGGCTGGGGGCGGAGGCTGTTCTTTTAGACGAAGGAAACAAAACTGTTTGCAAGAGGCTCATTCAACATCTTTAGGAGAAAAAGAAAGAGCAGGGAGTATATTTAGGGGCTTTATTCGATGCTCCTGGGATGCAAGAAAAATAGCGCAGCTTGCACGCTGGAGAAAGGCAGGCACAAGTAAGGAGCTGGGTTCAGAGGCAGTGTAGGCAGGTAGGCCGGGGGCGAAGGCTCCCCCCGAAACAGCAGGCAGCACCCTGCTATAATCTGGGACAGCGCCTCAGGTCGGGGCTGCTCAGGGCAATTCTGCAGCCTGGGAACTGCAGCAACCCCGGCTTTGCAGCTGCGGGGGTCTGCAAGCTGCTCCTCCAGTATATGCAGGGAGGAGGAAAAAAAAAAGAAAAAACACTCACACAAATATTGGAAGTGTACATAAAAATACAGTTTTCAAAGAATGAACTAGTGGAGCTTTCTCATTCTGAGCACTGCAGACCAGCTGCTCCCAGATGTGACTCAGGTCCCGTTTTAAGCACGTTGCACCACTCCCCCCAAATCGCAGCTCAGCCCTGCAGCGGGACACCCCAGCCCCACCTGTGCGGAGTGAGGCAGGACTAGCACTAACCTGCAGAACAAGCTCTTCTCTCAAATCAATTTCTCAGCTTCCTGCCCTGTCTCACTTTTGAGTGACACTGTTGGTCCAGGGTGTTTCACCTGCAGGCTCCCTCCCGGGGCAGGGGGTTGAAGGACTGTCCCCCACCAGCGGCAGAAGCAAATGAAAACCCTCTCATTCCTGATCCCATATGCTCATTATAGGCTGAGGACCCCAGGGTGCTCTGCAACCAGGCAAGCTGCGACACAGAGCATCACTGTGTCATAAAAGGAGGCTACTTATTAAATTCACAGCCATGAACCCAAATCCCAAAGAAAGGAGCTCAGCTCTGCCCGGGACAGCACGAGGGCCGAGGTGCTGCTCCCRGCCACGGCGCAGCCTGTCAGGGCAGCAATCCCGTCTCCGTGCCGGCGTTGCCGGGAGAGAGATCGCACGGAGCCCCSTTTCCCCAGCGCGATGCTGACGTAGGCGGCCTGCCGCTATTTTTAGCGGCACACGTTTCACTTCCCAGCTTTGGAGGAGCTGGAGCTGCAGCGCGGAGCAGGGCGAGGGGCGGCAGCGGGCTCCGGAGGCAGCGTGCCTGCCTAGCAGCGCTCGCCAGCAACAGCACGGCTCACGTTCCAGCGATGCCCGCGCTGCTCCCCGCGTGCCACAAGCATGTGCCCCCCTAGAGCCATYGGGGATGAAGGCAGCTGCTTCTCCTCTTCCTCCCCCTGCGCTCCTGATGTGCCGCCACCACGCGTTAACTCTTTGGGCTCCCGGCGCGCTTGGCAATGCCAGCGCAGCCTGGCAGTGCTCCCAGGCCTGCGTGCTGCCAAGTCACAGGATTCTTGGTGACAGCAGGTGTCCTTCAGGAAATAAAATTTCCTCACTCTCATTATCAATCGTTTTTAATTAGAGGCTCACAAGTGATGTCACCTATTCCGCCACCAGCCTATACACCTGCCAACCCGAGGCGCTGCCAGCAAACACGTCCTGCAGTGCTCTCCTCTAGTGTCACTTTGAGCAGGATGAGCTACAGCTACTAGAACCAGGTTCTTCAGGAGAAAGCTCATCACAGTGGCTGGTTCATGACACTGCTCAGGAACCCCATGAACATGGGAGCTTCCTTCTGCTGCTCTGCACTTCCAAAAAGATGCCAGACCTGAGCTGCAATCTGAGCTCATGGAGAGSACCCACCACCATCCCAAAGGGCAAGTCTGGGATAGTCATGGAGATGGCAGTAAAYGTGGATGCAAACCCAAGCCACGTTTTACTTCTAAACCCACTCTTGGCCTTATCTTGTTCTGTAGGACACATGGGATGGACTCCCACGTGTCCATACATAYGTACGCCTGTCTGTGCGAGTAAAACACCCCCAGCTACTCACCGCCTGCGCTCAGCAAGAGCCGCCGCCTCCAGCCCAGCTGGTCCAGCCCCATGGGGGTGCTCTGCGAGAGAGGTAAGGAGCGGCATCTCTCCAGGAGGATTTTGAAGGGAGGCGCTTGTGGGGATGGATGAAGAGGATGAGACAGAGGCTGGCAAGAAAAAAAGGTTGGAGTAGAATATCACCAATATTTATCAAACTTTTGACAAAACAAACACCACACATTACATTTAGTAATATTTTTTTCAAGGCACTGTAACGCACCTGAGATGTCCTTGCTTAGTTCTCACTTCTCCCTTATTTTTTTAGGGGCAGAAAAATAAGTGCATCAGGCTGCCCTAGCTCCCATGTTACATAGCTCACTAGCTTCAGCACAGCTTGAGGGCAGCACTTTCCAGGTTCTTCAAATCCCAGCAACTTCCAGCTGCACTTAGCCTCCAAGGCACTTTTGGAAGCATCAAGTGAAGATGATGTCTCTGTTTTGGGCAGCAATTTGTCTACACTCTACCACAGCAGAGTCCCATGGGTTGGGACTTGTGGGCTCCACAGCCAAGCAGGACACAGCTTGTGCACCCTTTGCTGGTCTACAGACAATAGCAGGCCATTCATCTCCACACTTATCCCCAGGTGGCTGATGGCCATCATTGTTGGTCACCTCCTAAGGTTGTACTGAAGAGACRGGTTATTAAATCCGTCAAATTTAAGGACAAAAGAGATTTTTGAGATGCAGGTACAACATTTAAAGGACACACTCATAGAGCAGCACAACAAGYTTTGAAGGGCAGTCATGGAGCAGCACAACAAGCTTGCAACATCTCTGCTGATGGTGCAGTTTAGGAGAACAATCTGCTCATCTTTCTGCCTGCCCAGCATCTTAGTACAGAAACAAAAGTTACTAGTTTTTAGAATAAACCCACCAAGAACAATTCCTGCAAAACCCTGGCTGAAGTCTTGCTGATAACATCTATGTAAAAGTGAAATAAATTAGTAACAGGATGTCATTTTTCTTGTTTCCCAAAATCTTAATGAAACACACCCTTCCAGGCATTTCCAGAGGTCATGTAAGGTCTCATCCAATTCCACAAACAGAAACCCACAGATGGTCTTTGAAGCAGAGAGGAGGCGAATAATCATAATAAGAGCATCACGTTTAATACTGTGCTGCTGGATTTTCTAGGTCTTTACCCCAAATCTTTGCTGTTAGCTTAGCAGGAGATGACACTCGGGCAGCATTTTCTGCTCATCAAAACAGATCCAAAGTCTTGCTACCGTCACTAAAAGGTTAGCTCCAAATAARTACTATTTTGACCAGCTGGCTGGCCTGACTCATGATCCAGGGGGCTCAGAYAGAAAAATAAGAACTAACTATATTGCCTAGTGCTTCTAACACTTGCTCTTGAGCGCATCACCATTTGGGCCAGAACAAGGTCCCAGAGGGCCTGACCTGCGCACACACGCAGCCAGGTCCTCCACGTTGGACGGGGTTGACATGCACCTTCTCCTGGACCTCTCTTACATGGTGTCTCTCTCAACAGCCCTCCCAACATTTTAGCCTTGTGACTTGCACAGCTAGGCGCAAGCAGGACCCAATACATATTTTAGGAAAACATGTGGAAATCTGAAYTATCCATGTGTTCAGTGGGTGATTTTATATATACATATATAAATAAAATGGATATATATATATATATATGCACGGATATATATATATGCACGTAAAGCTTATCAGCTTTGCAAGCTCAACCTGCCTTTCACTGACGATGCTAAAAATATGCTAAAAAAAGCTGCCACTATACATAGCACCAAAWATAGGCTTTAATTCAAGATTTTGCCTGCACGCTGTGGTTATTATAAATATGAAAAATCTGAACAGCTTGGAGTTAGGCTTCGGAGGTTTTGTCTCTTTTAAAAATAAGATGATTGTCAGGCATAACCACAGTAAAGGCCATAAATACACAGGCTCTTCATTCCGCAGCTAAATCACGCCCCACTACAGGCAGGAATATAGTGCTCCTTTGGCAAGAGCAGGATTTAGGAAGTAAAGTACTATTTCTTACTGGGAAAGGACTGTGAAGGTTTTTATAGGCAGAACTACCAGCAGCAGGCTGGGAGACAACCCAGCCTCTTGGTAAAAAAACGGACAAGATAAAATGAGCTGTGAAGATCAACTCTGGGAAACACATTCCCCAGGTAGCGTCATTGCTGGCAACATCCCGTCAAGCATGGAATAAATATAGTAGCTGCACGTTCCCTTGGAAATAAAACAATGGCTAGAAATGCTTTGCATTGGTGGGAGAAGCTGAGAAGGTCCGTGCTGGTGTCCAACGYTGTGATGAAAGCAGGCATGGTGGCAGCAGCATCGGTGCCTTCATGGTGTGTGGGTAGGTTGGCTGCGTACGAGACAGTGAGAAATAACAAGAGGACCAAGTGTCTCCACCCTCAGCCTTACAGGACACAGAGGAACCGTGTTGGTACAACGCTGTGGGCAGGAAACACTCACCCATTGCCTGCTGTGATGCTCAGCAGCAAGTTCAACCAGAAAGCCCCATGCAAGGGCTTCCAGGGCCCCAACACTGAACTGCCTGGGAAGCTTTGAGGGATCCAACAGAGGGGCTGGCACCAGGTGCTACACCTTCCCCCCTGTTCCCCTGCCCACATCTGTCACCCGTCTGAAAACCCTTCAGACAGTCATATTCCCCTCAAAAAAACATCAGGAACAAAACAGCTCTTCTATCTGAGACCAGAAAAGCTTGCAGTCAGACCTAGTCTGTGGGTATTCTAAAGATAAAACTGGAAAGCCTTTCAGTAGAGATTTTTTTTTGCTCTTTAAAAGCAGATCCTCCATTTCACAAGCAGCCAGCAGAGGGCACAGAAAGACTGCAGTGAAGATCGCTCTGCAACAGCAACAGGAGGGACTGCAAGGGAGCAGTATCCCAATAGCGCAACTTTTCCTTGGCTCATTCCGAGGAGAAGCATCAAAAACCCAGGAGAAGGCGCCAACTGCAGACCAGCTTCTGTGGGAGCCCAGCTGCCTGTCCGACTAAGCATGAGGCCTCCTCAATGAGCTAGGTGTCTTTTCCTCTTTCTACACCCTCATCAAGACTAGAATCYTATTGAGCTGTTACTTGCCCGTAACAGCATAAAATATTTTATAATTTTATAATTTAAAGTTATTTTTAAGGAGGATGCTACTAAAGCAAGAAACAGCAGGATTAACTGAAGAGCGTAGTCAAATGGAGATTCYACCATTGCACTCTACCATCCTCCTCCTCATACACCTCCATCTCCTACCAGGCCGGGTCAAGGAGCCCCCGTGAGAAGCAAGGCCTTTGCTCTCTCTGTAGAAGATTGTGTAGGTTGCCTTATACAACATCTGCAGGGTTTATTTCTGCTCTCTAGGCACATGTGGAAGCTGCTGGACCCCTTACAGCAGGTACCAGCCAAGCCACCCCAAAACAGGAGGAGTGCCCAAGGTCACAGCTAGCATCACTGCTAGTTGTCCCTGTTCCTGCTCCTCCTCCTCTGTCCYGATCTGGAGTTGCTCCAGGCTCACCTCTCCTAGACCACCAGTCACCCCCCGATTCTCTCGTTGCACCCAACAGGAAGGTCAGCGAGGCTTCCTGACCCTATTTTCCCTGCTTTGCTCAATACACTCATGCCTATGTTATTTCGCTCCTGCCCAGCAGTTGTTCAGGTTGGCCCCTGAGGGACAACATGACATGCCACCTTAATTCAAATCCATCCTAAAAACATTGCTGCTCACAGGCCACAAGAAGGGTGCAACTGCTACTCACCCCATTTCATAAGTGCCTGCAGCTACAMCAWRA